GGGGGGGGGGGGCTGGGCACTTGGGGCAGGATTTGTAGAGTGGAGGCCTGTGGGATGAGGGACATTTGGAAGGAGCAGGTGTTCCAGGTATGGAGGAAGCCTGAGCAAAGATAGGGAGGTTGGAGGAATATCTGGGATTCTAAAACCTTTCACAGGAAGAGGGGCCACCAACTGTTTGTGGGCATAAACAGCAGTTGCTAGCGTTCACAAGAGGCCAAAGTTCTTGGAATCATCTTAGGAAACTTCTAAAAAAAAGTAGACTGAATTGCCTGAAATGTGGCTGAGCCCAGAATCTGAGCTCTATGGGGTGACTGGCTGGTGGGCCTGTGGCTCAGCCTTTGTTATGGGCATACAGCCCTGAGCATGAACTTGACCTAGGAGCAGCTTCCTCCCAGCTTCCATCCATCAGGTGGGTAGGGCCTGAGCATGACTCATCCTAGGCCACGAGTGGGGGTGGGGGGAGGCAATGCTAGAGCAAAACCTAGCATCCTGCCAAAATCAAGGCTCTCCCATGAAAGCAGTTAACCGGGCCTCATTCTGGCTGTGGCTGGAATGGGCCGAGAATAAAAATATCCAATCTCTCAACTCAGGGAAGACCTTGGGTTAGGGTCGGGGTTATTCACAGCTCTGAGTGCCACTGACAATAGACAGCTCNGAAGACCTTGGGTTAGGGTCGGGGTTATTCACAGCTCTGAGTGCCACTGACATAGACAGGTCCACCCCCAACTGCTCTTGCTGAGGACTCGATGGTAAAACCCACAGACAGACACCCAACATGCTCGGCAGGGACTCCCTTTCATAGCTCCCTGTCTGTGCAAACTGAGCGGAAGTTCCAGAACTCATTTTAGCTCACTCGAGGAAATATCACTTTTCCAGAGTGTTTCCTAACTCCCCAAAGAGTATGTACTCGCTCCACAGAGTCCAGACACACTCAGACAGTGCTTAGGCACAGACCCGGGAATTGCTTTTAAAAACAACAGATGTCCACATGCTAAAAAGAAAACCTCGCTTTAGAAATTCATCACAAATGAAAGGAGGTTGGGAAATAGGATAAATTATAGCCTTAAAGTATCTCCTACTAAAGATTAGTTAATACTTATAAAGGAGGGAGAGGAGTTTTACAGTAGGGAGGTCTGGTGGACACCAACTTACCCCAGGGATCAAAGTTACTGTCACCAGTAATGGGCTACTGGACAAAAGTGCCTGAGCACAAGACAGCATTACTTCGGTGGTGGTGTTACTGAAAATCCATAACCTGAATCAAATTGTGAGGGGGTGGGAATTTGAGACATTCCATGAATCCAATGGACTGCACTCTTTAGAAATGATGCCATGCAAAGAAAGGCTGAGGATTTGTTCTATAAGACACTAAAGAGACATGACAACTAAATATAGCATGTGAGAATTTTAGGGGGACTGGGAAAATTAGAATACAGAGTGTTTCTTTGAATCATGTGGCATTATCAAAAGTAGTCAAATACCAACAATTGTTTAACCTAAATAATGTATTATATCGATGTTAAAATGACCAGAATTTGATCATTGGATGTGGTTATCTAAGAGAATATACTTGTTATTTAGAGATGTATGCTGAAGTACTTAGGGTGGAGAGAGAGAAAAAACCCCAAATACAGCCAAATGTTAACAACTGGCATATGTAGGTGAAGAATATATAGATATTCATGATAATATTCTTGCAAATTTTCAAAGTAAATTCAGTTTAATTCCAAGCAATTCAGCCCTCTGAGTGGACTAGAATGCCCTTCCTCCTGAAAGAGCTTCAGGGTCAGTATGGAAAGCCCTCCTGGCAGTGCAGAGATGGAGCACTTGGCGTGGGGTGGCTGTCGAGCAGGCCTGGCCCCCACCCTCCACTTGAGGCTGTCACCCACCTGGGTTTCCAGTTCTGTGACCTCCAGGTTCAGTTTATTCAGGTGCTTATTCACGAAAGTGATGAGAGTCTAAAAAAAAGAAGCAAAGGCCAGGCACTGAGATGGAGACTCACCAGTGCCAGACCCTCAAGGCTACATCTGTGACTCCACTATGAGGACAAGGACCAGGGTGACCACACAGGATGAGGCCCAGACGAGAGCACTGGGCCTGGGACCACTGTGCCGGGCTGTGAGGATGAGCGAGCAGCCTGGGAGGCTCTTCTGCAAACCCTGGAGTCACAGGAAAGGATGGCCCCCAAGGATTTGCGGTCCCGTACACTATGTGACTCAAACTGTGAAAGAGCTGGGGGTCCTGAGAGGGTAGAGTGAGAGGTGGAGTTTCTGACCCCAGGGCGAGGTGGCTGAAGGAAAATTAGGAAGGGGGCCAGAGAAGAAATGACCCCACTGGGTCCCGCCTTCCAGCTCCTTCCCAGGTGCAGGTGCCTGGGCGCAGGGAGACAGAGGGAGGTCTGTGTCCGGAGGTAGGGATGGTTGGGGGTTAAGGCTGGAAGACAGGGTGCTCATGTCTCAGAACCCCCTGAGAGATGGTAATCCTCTGGGTGGGAGAAGAAAGGGACTGGGTGGGGTATCTAGTGAGAAGAACACAGGTAAAATGGGCATCAAGCAGGAAAGCCTGTGTCTGAAGAGATCTGGTGATGAAACCAGTTTCAGGAAGCTTGCAAGCTGCAGGGATGGGTTTTCCTAAAATGGTTTGCTATACTACCCCCCCTCCTTCCCTCCAGGCACCCCTTCCCCACCTTTTTCACCACGTTGAGCTTATCTGGTGCATGGTCGAACAAGGTGTCGAAGGCATCACGTTCTGGGGAAGAGGAAAATGTCAAGTGAAGCAGAGAGCTGACTCCTGGTGGGGAGCCCACCGCCCGTCCTGGCCACAAGGTCGGCTAAGATGGAAACTCTTTGGGGTATGAAGCTGCACTGGGAACTCTGGAAGCTGGGTTCAGGGCAAAGATCTGGGTTATTCTTACCTTAGGGGCTGTCTGTGTGTGTGTCTACCCTCTCTGTCAACTCTCTTTTGGGCTGGGATTGAGGGAGCTCTGCCAAGCACTTTGACTTGGGACCGGTCATTTCCTCTTCAGTCTTCGTGTTCATTATATTATGATTTAGTAATGGTTCTAAAGTGTTTCTGAAGCTTTTTGGAGGTAGAATGTTATCCAAATATCAAATCAATTCACCCCCTAATGATCAAAATCAGGACACCCAGACAACCATCCTGCTAGAGCGTGAAAATTAGTAGGTTGGGAACCACAGAGCACTGGATAGGATGTGAGCTCCTCCTCTTGAGTGATCTAGTCACTTCAATGCTTTGTGCCTCAGTTTCCTTTTCTGTAAAATGCCATCTGAGAAATGAACCCCTCAGGTGTGTCATGAGATGAAAGATGAGAATGTATGTGCATGTGCTAAAGACCCTGATGTGTCTACTGAGCTGAGCTGTTTTAGCATTATTGGAATCATAATAAATACAGTAAATACAGGATCCTAGAGAACAGCAAAGCCACGCCCCCTGCAGGTTCTCAGAACTGGGAGGTGAAGTAATGGAGGGGATCCGAGGCAGGGAATGAGAAGAGTCTCCAAAGGAGCCTGGGGCAGGGAAGGTCTGTGGTACTGGGGTCTGTCTTTCCCTACTCTTGCACTGATGGGCAAATCTGAGACTTCCAGGAAGGGGATTGTGCTCTCTGACACTCACAGACTTTACAAACAAACCCAAAGTTCTAGAAAATGGGAGAGACCGAAGCTGTGACAAGGAAAGAGAAAGAGCTGCTTCTAGAACTGCTCGGCAGAGTGGGGAGAGGGGACAGTCTGAGTGGGTAAATACATCTTCTTTTACTCTCACACCACACTTAGATCGAGACTGCCTGCAAATGCCCAGGACCCATCCAGAAGCCCAGCAATGTCAACAGTCTGGTTACTTGCAAAAGGCCTGTGCAGCTGGGGTCAGTTTTCCTCTTCCCACCAGTAAGCTGCCCTGCCCTCCCAAGCGGCTCTGCCACCAGGCTGGAGCACACACAGGCACGAAGCAAGCTGAGCGCCTGTTCTTCCCAGCTGCTGCAGGGTTAACTAGGCCCCCGAGGCAGCCGCCAGCACATAGCACAATCTCACGCAACTCACCATGCCTTCCCGAAAGAGCCCTGTAGGAAAAGAAAACAGTGTGAATCTTCTCTCCTCGCCCTTGATTGAAAAGCCCCCAAACTCTCTTGGTATTCTGCACTTAGGCATTTCACTGCCCAGGATGCTGTGGGCATTAGCTTGGGTAGGTCAAGTTCTTCTCTCTCCTATACATCCTGTGATACCCATTGAGCTGCACCCCGCCTTGATCCAGGGTAGGTTTTTCTCAAAGAGGGCAGGAACTGGAACTTTTAGCAGTGAAGCAGCAAAGTACTAAGAACACAAGCATTAAAGACAGACTACTACTTGTAAATCCCATGGAACCATTTGCTTGCTGTGTGACCTTGAGCAAGCTGCCTAACCTCTCTGGGCACTAGGTCTCATCTCTAAAATGAGGATAATGTTACACCCACACTAGCATGTTGTGAGCATTAAATAATTTAGTATGGAGAAAGATTTTAGCATAATTCCTGGTATACAGTAAATGCTCAATACATTTTTTTCTCAATACATTTTTGGTTCTCGTTAGTTTATTTCAATTGTGCATCTATCACCCATTAAATGATGATTTGTAGGTAATGCACTGGAAAGAATAATGAACTTGGAGTTAACTGTTGGATGGACCAGTGATAATCTCTTCTACAGCTTTGGGCTGTGGGGTTTCAGGAGGTGTAATCATTGCTTCATGTGTATATTATGAGCACCGATAGATACAAAGTGCTTCATAAACTGGAGTGTGTTGCCATTCTTAGGAGTTTGCATCTGTGTGTATGTCTGTGTGGTAAGAAGGCAGAGAGACCATAGTAAGCACAGGGCAGCTGAGAGATTGCTCTGAGAACTGAAACTTCACGTTCCCTGATTTGGGAGCGTCTCACAGGCTCCTCCGAGATACAGCTTCCTCTTTCACAAAAGGTGAAATAGCAGGTGAGGACAAGCCCAGCGAAGGTTAGGGGAGGTGGGGGCGGGACAGTGAGGAATTCTGCTGCTCTCCCAGCAGGTCTGAGCCAGGGTGGCTTTCAGCCTGCCCTTCGCAGAACCAAGGCCAAGAATCAGGGTGCCTGTTACATCAGCTAACCCTTCAACTGCCGCAACTGGGCCCAGGAGTGACATGGAGGCAGGCCATCAACTGGGTATGTGGGGAAGGGCCACCTCACATCTCTGCCCTACCCTGGACCTGAAATTCCCACACTCCCGGCCCCCTTTTAAGGCACATGCATAGTGTGGTCCACAAAGGCACCACTCTGGACCCCCATCAGCCATGACTGGGGAGGAGAAGTGAGTTTCCTAGAGATTGGGCAAGGCTTGGATGGTATGAGTCAGCTGTAATGGGGAAAAGCCAGAAAAGTCAGCAATGAAGGGAAAGGGGAAGGGGGCCAGGGCTGTTACCATGTTCAATCCTCACAACCTCTCTGGCAAGCAAAATGCTCCCCACTTCTGAGATCAAGAAACTGAGGTCAGAGAGGATAAGGGCACACAGGTAAGTAAAGTGGCAGAGTGTGGATTTGAACTCAAGTTAGGCTGGCTTAGAGGTGCCTGCTCTTTTTACTTTGCTCTTCTTGTTTGAGGAAGGACAGAGGAAAGTTGGAACAGGAGGTGCTTAAAACAAACTTTGCCTAGCTTTGCGTGTGGCCAGGGCGCAGGCCTGCCCAGGGATCTCAAACCCACACACGCAGTCCTGCTCTTTCTACTTAAGACCCAAACTTGTCCTCCCCATGGCAAACCCCTTACATGTTTTGATATTTGAATTTCTTAACCTAAGTGAAAACAACAAAAAACACCACTCTAAGGTAGCGTTTCTGGGTCATGGCACATGACCAAATAAATCAGATTCAGAAAAGAAAAACGTCCTTTTGAAGGTTAACAATTTAAATTCAACCCCATGTTTACGGCATGACGATTTCATGCTGGTTGGCTTTTTGGGGCCCGCTTTTTTCCTGGAGTGCCACAAAATTAGAATTTTTCAATCACTGCTAATTCTCTCTCCCCACTTCCCCACCCAAGTTTGTACCTTAAGCATTGAGAGGCATGTTTTGAATGCAAGGAAAAGGCTAAGCTATAATCATTGGCTGAAGTCTAATCCCTCTTGCAATCCCAATAAATGAAAACTAAATATCAGCAAATGGACGAATTTCGGAGAAACATCTGTGTTCCATTACAGAATCGCTGGCAACAATGGTGTTGACATACTCTGTGTTACCAGTTATTTCCTCTTGGATTTGCCGAGACTGGAGGATTCCTTCTCGTTTCTGAAATGGGGGTGGGGGGGAAGGGTTGGGAGGAGGAGAGAAAAATATGCTTTAGAAAAATATTAAAAAACTGATTAGCATTCCTGATACTGAGAAAGTTACTGCTGTTTAAGAAATGAGTCCGGAGTTGAGAAACCTCCAGAAGTGAACCGAGGCCCCTGACTTCCCGGGCCTGGACCATCCCATTCGTACTTAAGTGCAATTCGTGTTTAGTCCAAACAAGTAGGCAGTTTCTTGGATGGTGAATCTTTTCTTTCTTTATTGGAAGACATTCTGCTGGAAGCAAACTGTTTGCCTCCTGGAGTAATCCACAGTAAACCAAATGGAAGTGAAGCCCAGGGTGTGTCTGCCCTCCAGCTGGGGCCACGGAGGGAAGCTGAGAAACACATTTAGATGAGGGGCTGGGGTGGGGGAACCGAGGCCAACTTGGAGAATTCAAATAGAGGGAGGGTTTGTTTTTCTTTTTAATGGATAAATATGGGAGCTTTTAAATAAGTAGTGCAGTCCTTAGGTAACTAGCTTACTCTCTGAGAAAAGGTTAAGTACTCTGGAGGCTGGCCCATCCAGCCATCCAGCCAGCCATGCATCCATCCATCTGGCATCTATTCTACCCTCTCCCATCACTTCATCATCCTCCTTTATTTCACTAATCAGCGCCTTCTACGTACAACTCCCTCATTAGTATCTTCTACGTACAAGCCCGTGTTGAACTTGGAGCAAATACTATGGGATGTTTGACATAGTTCCTGGCCTTGAGGAACTTAGAGTAAAATGGCATAGATGAAACAGGTATGTGAGAATGGGTTCTCCAAAACAGGGTTTTTGCCTGACGACTCAGCTCAGTTAGTAGGATCCCTTTTGCTCTCAAGGGTCGCAGATAATGAATTATGTGGTCACGCTATGCAGAGGGAAAGTGCTGAATGCGGGACAAGAGCAGGCACATTCAGCTGGGATGGTCAGGGAAACCTTCCAAGGGGAGCGATCCTTGAGCTGGAACTTAAAGGACACATAGGATTTGGCTGGACACAGAGGAGAAGCCATTCCAGTGGAAGGAATGGCCTGGGCAAAAAGGCAGAGCCAGAGCACAATGTGTTCAGGGGGTGGTTTAGAGGGAGGGGTCATGAGTCAATGAGGAGTCAGTTGAGCGATGGTTTAGAATTAAACCCTTGTTACATGGGCGTGGGAGCTAATGACGGAGTGTTAGGATTCAGGAGGATCTTCTGATGGACATGAGGAGGGAGATTCACTGTATCAGGCTCCTTCATAGTCAGTTGCACTTGGAGGATGGTCTGGGCACAGAAGTCAGTTTTCAGAGCAAATTCATCTCCCATGAAGGCTGAGGTCAGTGTCCAGAAGGACCCTCCAAGCTCTGGTGTCTCAGTTGAAACCTGCCTTCTTGACCCTCTTGCCAGAACTTCCAGAACCTTCTCTTCACATTCTCAATAGCCACAGAATTCTAGTGTCCTTGCAAAATACTTTGACAGAAGGAAAGGTAGAGGCCAAGAGTATATCTGAATTAGATTAAGAAGAATGGACTATCAAAGCAAAAAAGGAAGTTTAAAAAAAATCACTCAAAGGTGATCCAGTGAGGATAAATCATAACTTTTCCAAATTCAGCTTTAACCCATGTGAAGTTTTCACCTGGGGCTGATGGAATCTGTGTTCTTGTCTTTTGAGCCCATTCACAGACTTAAAATCTCATCCCAACCTCATGCAGAATTAAATGCTTTTATACACGGTGGAAAAGAAATCTGGGTTGAATAACCCCTTGCACAGCATCCTGATTCACCCCTATCCATTATTTGTTCCCTAAAGAGCTCTCTGTAGTTCAGTGACTCACAGCCCATTCTGAGTCCTGCTTCTGAGCCTGCTTAACTTGATAAAGCGAAACACCCCATAAAACCTGACATGCATTGATGTCATTTTATGTAACGTGTCCTCTTTTCTCCCTCATGCTAACAAGATTGCCTATCAGAGAAATTAAACCAACAACGGCCTTCAGATGGCCCATAATTGAGCTCAAAATAAGGCATGAGGCATGGGCTTGCAGTGACCACTGTTTCAAAATAGAAGCCCCCTTCTCCTGTTTGGATCTTGAATCATCGTTTTAAAAAATATATAATGAAATGGATTCACACATTATTGATTGGTAAAAATAACACAATAGAGATGGCCTGGATTCACTAGGAAGATGCTTGTACCAGGAAGCGCTGGGCTGGCCACATCTCCACAGCAGACAGAAAATGCTTAGCACCAAGCTTGACACAGCTGAGTGCTCAATAAATGAGGCCAATTAGTCCCTTTCAGCCCACTGCACTTAGTGTCTGAACCACACACATTCGCATTGACTACAGGCTTCTGATAGCCCTCTCCGCTGCTTCTCTCTTGGCAGGCAGGGCCAAGGTGTTATATTCCTATTACGCACCCTTGATGTTTAGTAAGTTCAGTAGCCAGGAGGTGTAAAAGAAATACTTTTTCCTTTGGGCACAAGTGAGCACTCCCAAGCCCTCTTCCATTAACATCTGATCCCTGAAAGCTCAGCTCAAAGACCTTTTGTCTTGGAAGCTGGCCTGGCCTGGGGAGACAAAGTTTACCCGCCCTCAAGGCTCTTCCTTACCAAGGGGCAGCAGAGCTGCCACATTCTCTATTGCAGAACCCTGGATACTCAGGGAGCTGCTTATAAGGGGAGTCCTCCCTCGCAGCATGCTTATTTGGAAAAGAACAGAGACAAGCAAACAAAATGACCTTTTGCTAAATGGCATAAAGTTGGAAAATATAATTGAATTTGAGTATCTAATGGGGTTAGGGGTAGAATGAGATAGTCACAGGGAGAGTGCACACCCTCACTGTGGAAATTACAACAGCCATGTGAATGGAAATTCCATCCAACGATCTGGAAAAGATGACTTGAGATCCCAGCTGTGCTTCTCTGGGCGGGTGAGGAGTGGCAGTGTCCTCAATACAGGCACGGCCAGTCCGGTCTCTCCAACACACAAATGCACATGTGCACACCCTCACATCTGCCTCTTCCCAATACCTGTGCAGTGCTGTTTACCCAAAAGATGATGATTCTCTATGGTTTGCAGGGAGTGTGTGCATGCACACACACACACAGGCACACAGACAGATACATCTTTCCTCCTGATCCTACTAGGCATGTCTCATACACACCACACACACTCAGATATGCATTACATAGACACCCTCCCAAAAACACACATAAACCCTCATGACAAAAACATGTAAACCCCAGATACATGCACACACAGATTCCCATATACAAGCACACACACTTCCATCCTTTGCACACATGCATCCGAAAGCACAGTCACATGCCAATGTATAAGCACACCCAAGGACACTCAGGATTCATTCAGCTGTCCTAACAAGCTACGCCATGTGCCTCAGCTCTCTTAGGAACTCAGCCTCCACACCTCTTTAGGGGCCAGATGTTTGTAGTAGCATCTGTCTTACCTGGACCACAACCACTTGGATGGAAACATGGTCTGGGAGTCGGATTGGTGCCCTGAAATACTGGGACAGAGCAACCAGCAGATGCAGGATGGCTACCAGGCTCTTGGCATGAACAGCTGAAATAAAAGATGATTTTAAAAATTAGAGAATCTTCTTCTAGGTTCTAGGCAGATACAAGCAGATATCAAAATGTAGCTATACCACATCCATTTCCCCTTTTATCTCATCCCTGAGGATCAGGGACAGACACCCTTGGTCATCACAGGCCTCACCCTGGGCCCCCTCATTCTTGGCCAGGTCCAAGCAGCTGCCTCTTAGGTCATGCTATTGCTGGATTTCCAATGTCATGCCTCCCTGTTCTAATCCAAGGTTCCCAGAGAGACTCTGACAGTGGCTGAATTCTGAGTTCAGATCAGCTCTCCTCCACCTCCATGTTTTTTGTTCACTCTATTTTAATAACCACGGGCATGTCTGCTTTGCACCCTCCCTCCCATCCCACTTGACTGTGAACCCTTCAGGTTATCACAACTACCTTTGTCCTAAGGCTCTACCCAAAGCAGGCCAACTATCAATGGACAGTGAGTCAGGAACACTGGATCCCTTCCTTTGTTCAGGGCTTTAAGATCCCTGGAGAAGAGCACAAAAGATATCTAAAGGGCTTAGCTGCTCTCTTGTGTCATGTATGGTCAGTGTCAGCAGTGCCCCTTGGGGAATGGCTGGGAGGGAACGTTCATGACCCAGTTGGCTTCTATATCTACTGAGCAATGTGCTGGATGCTAAGCCATTTATACTAGAGAAAGCTGGGCAACTACTGGGTTGTAGTTTTCTCAGTAGATGTGAGGAGAAAAAGACTATGATGTAATGGGGTGCAGACTGGAGCTTGAGTTCTGATGTGACAATGCTGCCATTTATTTACTGCCTACAAGGCCACTTAAGGGAGCTGAGCCTCAATCTGCTCATCTTCACAAATGGGGATAGCTGTGCCTGTGCAGAAATACAGGTTGTAAGAATTCCCAGAGATAATGTAGGCAAAGCTCCTAGTCTGTAGCAGATGCCTAGGAATGGCTGATTTTTTTTATTATAGTTTGAGAAAGTGCCTGGTATCTAGGCAATTAAACCAATCAGCATTCTCCCCTTCGTTTCTCGTAAAAGGAATGATTCACCAGATAACTTACCTGTCCTCACAGTCCTATCAGCATCATGGTTCTTCATTACAGGGGGCATTTAAGGCAAGAACAGAAATATGCCTAGTTTGTGTACTTAGCATGAACTAGGCCTGGCATCAGGGTGTCGTTAGTCTGCGCTAGGATTGATGAGTCTGCTCTACAGAAGCCTTGAGAAATCACCAAGAGAAGGAAATGATTCAGACATTCCTTGGGAATTCATTAGAGTTTCTTGTTATCGCTGCTGCTTCAGAGAAGGTTTTCTACTGACTGTAAACAACAGCTCAACACTGCCATCAAACAGCAAATGATCTGCTTCTAACTCCACCTTCCAGAAGTTTTCAGCTCTGGGCTTCTGAGCATTGTCAAAAGTTTCACCCACAGTTACAGCCTCACAGAAGGCTCCTGGCACAGGGCTGATCTACTTGGTAAGCTCACCAACGTGTTCAGAACTGCACCATCAGTCTAGTCACCGAAGTTGTAGGACATTGGCTACCTCTCCCCCTTTTAATGACAAAACGATGCTAGAAAAGCTGTGGTCCAAAAGGTTGTTCTTACACACTGGTGACATTGTACATCATCGTGACTGTCTTGGTGAGCCATACATAGAGCTATATCATAAGCACCATTCAGATGCCAGACACTTTCGAGTGCTCTCTGTCCTAGGAATTTCTTTCAAAAGAAATAATGACATGTTTTCTCTCTTTCTCTCTCTCTCTCACACACACACTACATGTACAAAGATGTTCATTACTGTGTAACACATTATCACAGAAAAAAATCTGGAAAGCACTGTCCAATAGCGAGAGGATAGTTTAGACCAGTGGCTTGCAATTTATTATTATTATTATTATTACTAAGCAGAGAAATCCTTTGTTCTAAAAGCCATTAGACCAAACAGATGAAAAAAGTACCACTGCTCTGGTCCCTGAGTCCTGAGTCCTAACTGCAGCCCCTACAGCTGGTTCTCCTCACCACCTTCATCCTGCCAGGAAAGACGGCACAACGTCCTCAAAATACCAGGAAAGATAACGAGAGGAGGCACGGAGCTTCCCCCAGGGGCTGCGCCTGCCGCATTCCTCCAGGAAGAAACCGCTGCTTGTAAACAGGCCCAGCAGTTCTGGAAGCCCGAGGCATCCCAGGGAGCTGGCCATCGAGATAATTATTCCTTCTGACCCAGTAATTTATCTCTGTTCTGGAAATCTATGACAGGGCCAACTCAAGAGAAGCAAAGGAGACACAACCTGAGACATTCAACTTGGCACTGTCTGATATTAGCAATAGGCTGCCAAAAATCCTGAAAGGATCAATGTCAATGTGAAAAGGTTTGGGTTAACTATGGGATACCTACCCTGTAAAATAGAGCAGCTATCAGAAACGATAACTGTGAAGACCACATGGGAATACAGAAAATATGTAGGACTTACTATTAAGTGAAAACAAAACCCAAGATGTACCTGACTTCATCAAGTAAATATATGCGTTGCTATGGATAGTAGCGGGCAAAGATGAGACGAGCCAGACAAGGGCGGCAGTGCCAGTGATTATTTTACTCATGCATATTTTCCTGTGAGAAGTGAAAGTAAACATGAAACAAATCATTCAAAGCCAACGATGGTCCTCGAGTGGCTTTTAAAAATTCCATTCTTCTATCTCAGCCTTTCCCCAGTCGGGTTCCCTGTAAGTTAAAGGGCGCTGTGTTTTGTTTGGAAGGGTATATGGAGGTGGTCCAGGTTCAAAGGAGTGGGAGATGGGATCAAACAAGCTAAGCAGGGGTCATGATGAGAGGACGTTAACGCTTACACCTGCTGCCGATTTCCACAATGCAGACACATTTCTCAAACTAGTGACCAAGCCTCCTTTTTTCTTCCCCAGTGAGCACTATTAGCATTCCCGGGACAGCACCTAGGGCCCAGAGCCATGGCCTCCCCTTCTCCACACGCATCTGTCTCCCTGGCAGAGGATGCCCTGTTCCAAGAGCTCTGAGAGGCAGCTTTTCACACTGTGCGAGCAAAGGTGTAATTATGCTGGAGGAGGTACTTAGTGTCTTGCCTCCAGTGTCAGATGTTAGAAACCTGCTGAAGAGATTGTGAATGGCAGCTACTGGGTCTCTAAGTTGAGAGGTGAAGGTCCCTTTTTCTTGGCCAAGTTTGAAAGGTGTTTTTATGGGGGATGTGTCCATTTTAGGTTTTATAAGTTGGACACAATAAGATATATCTGGAACCCTTTAATACTTAAAACAAAGGCAGAGAGCACAATTTAAATCATTTTATCAATCTAAATTCTCATTTTTATCTATTGCAAGGAACAAAACAACTCTGGACTCCCCACGGGAAATAACGTCACTGGATTCACCAATTTGCTGATTTAATGTTGGTCCTGATATGGACTCATTGAGGCCGTATTAGACAGCCAGGCCCTCGAGGCCGCAAAAGAATGAATGGTTTATACTTTCTGAGATCCCTGAGTTACCTAGCTGTGAAACCTGAATTTAAAATTCCTGTTCCTGTGCCGACAATGACAGTCATACCTCACTCCCTGGCTTCTCAGCTGCCTGAACTTAGGAACCGCCGCCTTCCGAAGCCCCTACGAGCCGGAGAAGAGCATTCTCAGAGGTCGTGCGGGACACAGGAGCAGCTCAATACGCGTGTCCTTCCTCTCCCAATCTTACGTGAGCTTCTACAGAAAGCCTTGTACAGAGAAGGCGCCCTGGATTTTGACAGTTTGTTATCTGTCCCACAGGGATGGAGGACAATTTCTCTTTGTGTGAGATGTGTCCTTCCTTAGGAAAATGAACGGGTTTGCACCCACGCAGGGCGCTGGCTTCTTGGGGAAACCTCATGGTGGAGACCACAGGCATCATTCACCAGACCCATTTCTCTTTGTCAAACTCACAGTCCACGTTCCACTTGATGCTTCTGGGAGGAAGTTTCAGGGTTTCATTGATCTTCTCCAGGACAGTCTGCAGCTTTTGCTTCTGAGCAATCTCTGATTGGGTGACCTCAGCGACATTCAGCTTCTCGCTCTCAAGTTTCTCTGGGGTGACAAAGAGAACAACTGTGATCTTTGGCCACAGACAACCCTAACTCCCAGGCGTGCCCTCACCCAGTCACTCGCTCACTCAACATATACAAGCAAAACTCGTTTGGTTGCACTTGCACAAACGTTATGTTGTTGTTTTTTTACAAATTGAAGGGAAGGCCCAGTAAAAAGATTATGACTCGCTTTATTGCAGGGATCTGGAACCAACCGGCAATATCTCTGAGGTATGCCTGTAGATGAGGGACGCTGCTCTCCCCTCCTTGTCTGGCGGTGGCACTGGTGGTGCCAGTGTTGTGGAAACCTTGCGGTCGTGCCTCGAATGTCCAAATTATAAGATCCCAGGACCTTAGAAGTGAGGCATTTAACTAGGCCGTCATGCTTGAGCTCTTTTTTTCTATCATTCTGGGCTCTCCCTCTTCTTTTCGATTCTGCCTTCTCCAAGGACATCTCTGTGCCCCAACTGGAAAGCCTTCTGTGCTTCCCCTGGGCAGCGGTCACGTCCTTATTTCAGGCATTCTGTACACTCCTTGTGGGATAACATGTGTCACACCAAACCATATTTATCTGCCTTAAGTACCTTCTTTCCTTTAAAACCCGCCTGAAAAGTAACTTATTTGGCGTGTCCTATTTCATTACACACATTTTTTATTTTTATTTTATTTTACATTTTAACAACCCTGAAATCAGGTTGTGTCTTAAAATTGGTGGCACCCTACAGTCAGGCAGGTAGAAGACAGGCGTTTTCGCCGCTTCCCCATGTGTGCACTTCGTCATAGCTCTGCTAGCAGGCTGCTTCCCCGTCTCAGTAAGACTACGAGAGCAGTTTCAAAAAACAGAAAATAAAAATTCCAAGCAGTAACAAAGCTTTGCGTAACAGGCTTTCCCCCCCCTTCTTGGGTGGTACTTATATAATGGTGTTTTTTTANAACAGAAAATAAAAATTCCAAGCAGTAACAAAGCTTTGCGTAACAGGCTTCCCCCCCCTCTTCTTGGGTGGTACTTATATAATGGTGTTTTTTTTAAATCAATGGTTATTGTATGCAATGATATAACCCCTTAATACTTAAAATAATTAGACTGTGTTTTGCCTTTATTTGTCTAAATTCCTGTGCTTATCTATTAAAAAGAACAACTTTGGACTCCCTAAGGAGAAACACGTTCGTTGTCTGCTATTAGAGTCACCTAAGTCACCCTCCACAACTCACTGAGGATTAATAGAACTGACACTCTGAAATGTATCTAAGATATCTTTTTTTCCTCATTTTTAGGGGCTGTCATACAAAGTAATTAAACTTTACCATACATCAATGATTCCCCTATTGCTGACTTTATTTTATTTTTAAGTAGCTCTAGCTTATCCAAGTCAAATGCCCCTTGGGTAACTCTTTGGAAATGATGAGGTTGCCACTGAGAATTTCTGCAGGTTCTGTGGGTTTATGAATTCTTTTCAGTGCTTTAATAGGATGATGCTGAGCTATTCTGATCTCTGATGGCCTGAAATATTAACTTTCTCTTTAGCTGCAGGAAGCCGTCACCCTTTATTTCTGAAGTTCAGGGATTTAACAAGCCTGTATCTGAATGTCTTCCTCTTGAATGTTAAACCTTGAAGACACCCCGTGAGCCTTTTCCACTTTTAGGCTGTGACTTCTTACCTTAGATCGCCTTCTACTGAAGAAATGACAAGTTGTTTCCCTCTTACATCACAGCTACAATTTTGGTAGTTTGGGAGAGGCTGCCCAAAGTGCTAGGTTAAGGGAACCTGTGAAACCTTGTCTTGGCTTAGAGGGAAAGGCTGCTGGGATTAAAAGGCGACAGCTGTCACGATAGTGGGCTGGGGAGGTAGGGAAGGGAGGCGTGAGAGCATGAGAGCCACCTTTTTGCTAGCCTTATGTGATTGCCTAGGAATTTTCATATTTATAACCCACTGGCATTGGACTCCTTAGAGTGATAGCTTAGGTCCCTTTCTACGCTGATATATATCAATATAACTCATTCTTTTATAAGACTTAAAACTTATTCAACTATTCCCCTGTCGGATTATATCCCACTTTTTCCTTTTGGTAATAAAATTTCAATAAACATCATGTGTGTGTATTACCAAATGATTATTGCTGATGAAAAGAAAAACTCTTGCCTTACCTTACAGATTTTCTTCTTGAATAAAGTCATCTTACCAAGTCCCTGTAATAATTCTGTTGTTATTTATTTGAATTTTTAGCATTTTGGGGTATGCAAATAAGATCAAACACAGTCATCTCTGTTTTGTAAGCTTATATCACTTATTTCCATGTTAGGATATTTTAAAAGATTTACTTGAGAATCTCTTCTGCTATTCCTAACCCTTACTTTATTTCTAAAATAGTCACGTCTCTAAATTTAAGAGATCCACTCAAATATTCCTATAGTTAAATAACAATTTCACTCCCTGTTGCTAAGGATTTAAAAGTAATTTGTCAAGATCCCTAGTTTTCCTCTTTTGTTCTTTATTAGGCAAACTTAGCTAGTGCTGTGGAAGTTTCTCTTGCAGAGACTTTAGTCTTCCAGGAAACGGTCTCTCATGTGTCTCCATAGTTCAGAAAACTGCTCATCACTCGTTTAACTTGTTATAAAGCAGTAGGCGTGATTTTGCTTTTTAGAAAATTTTCTCCAGTAGAATTATTTTGTGTATCTCTCAGTTGTTTTTGGAGTTAGCATCCAAATATGCTTTTGGAGAGATTATTTTTAGAAAAAAGAGAAACAGTATTATTCAAAAGTTCTGAGGAATCAATACAGGGAAGAAAAACTCAATTACTCTGAATGGTAGAAGAACTGAGATGTTCTAAGGAAAACGTTGCCAGATAAATCATACTCTATTAACGCAACCACCCCTCCAAGTAGAATAAATAAATTCTCTTTCCAGTATGAGTGATTCCTAAGTTATTATATTTGTTTCCAATTATATGGGGAGGGTTAGTTAAAAAATGCTTTTATTGCATCATGGTCAGAAAATCTTGTCTGTGTAATAATTTGCTGAGACTTACTTTGTGGACACAGTCAAATTTTGTGTTTCATGTGTGGTTGAAAGGAATGAGAATACTCCGGGTTTGAGATATAGCTAGTTAACTGTAGTGTCCAAATCTTCTCTGTCCTTATGAACTTTTTTGTTAATGTGTTATTAAGAGAAATATGTTAAAAGTCCACCACTGTGATGGCAGATTTGTCAAGTTCTTGTAATTCTGATTGCCATTTTAAATTTTTATATATTTGATCCACAAAAGTACATTTAGATTTAAAAGGTCTTATTTTCCTGGTAACTTTAGTCCCAATCAATATGTAGAGATTCTCCGTAGTAATGCTTTTGGCCTTAAAGTTTATTTTGTTTGATAAAATAAGCTTTAAAATAGTTACTCCAGCTTCCTTTCAATTGCTAATCATCTAGTATATATAATCACATCTACTGTTTTTCTTTCAACCTTTCTCTCTTGTAAATGTAAATAGCATGTAACAAGATTTTGTTTTGTCATCTAGTCTGACAATCTTTGTCTTTTAAAAGGATAAAGTCAATTTACATTGATGGGTTTACCGCTGTACTTGGATTCACTTCTACCAACTTGTTTCTGTTCTGCTTTTCTGATCCTTTATCCTCACTTATATCTTTGCCTTCTTTGGATTAAAGTTTCTCTTCCTTTTCATTTAATTTTCTCCCCATAACTATATTGGAGGTTACACACACTATTTTATATTTTAGTGGCTACCTTAGAAAATTTATCATGTGTATTTAATGTAATAGAATCTTAAGTTAATTGGTATCTTTATCAACATACTAAATAACACAAGGACCTCAGCATACTAACTCCAATGACACTTTAACTTAAGTGCTATAATTTTCTAGGATTCTGATTCTATTTTAATTTTTTAAATTAACAAGTTAGACATTATTGTGATTGTTTAACATTCACTAAATTATTGTTTCAGTCTACCCACCATGGTAATTTTTGCTCATCATTTTTTTTGTTGTGTTTCAGGTCTTTCTGTTGGGTTCATTTTCCTTCTTCCTGGAGTACATCCTTTAGAAATTCCTCTTAGTGAAGCTCTGTTCGTAGTAAAGCTTCTCAGTTTTAGTTTGTTTAAAATGCCTTTATTTTCTCTTCAGTTTAAAACAGTTTTTTTTCTGGGTATAAACCTGTAAGTTGATAGTTTTTTTCTGCACTTTGAAGATTTCATTTCAATATTTTTTCGCTTTTGTCCCTGAAGAAAGACAGCTTGTTGTTCTTTTGTGGGTAATCTATCTTTTCTCTCTGCTTTTAATCATTTGTTTGTCTTCAGTGTTTTTAGATTTCATTATGAAGTATGTAGGCATAGATTTCTTGTTATTTATTTTGTTTGGGATTTATTTTGTTATTTTGTTTGTCTGAGCTTCCTGAATCTAAGAATTCAGATCTTTCATCGATTCTAGAAAATTCTCAGTTATTATGTCTTTAAATATTGCCTATACTCCATTATCTTTCTCTTCTACTGCTAGAATTCCAATTACTCATATGTCGAATCTTTAAAAAAGCACACAAGAAACTCTGTCTTTAATTCTCTTCTATTTTCCACACCGTTGTCTCTGTATACTGCATTCTGGATAATTTCTTCAGTGCCATCTTCTAGCTTACCCAGTTCCTTCTTCAGCTGTGTATCTATTGAGGTTTCTAATTTCATTATTACATTTTTTTTCATCTCTAAAAGTTCTATTTGTTTCTCTTTCAGATCTACCTGTCCAATTTTGATAGTGGCTGTTTAAACTTTTATTTTGACATATTAAACATACTTTATATTCCATAACTGATCAGTTGCTTACATGTATAGCAATGGTGGATGACCCCGCGGCTTATTGTTTCTGCTGATGCTTGCTCATGGTAGCTTGCTTCTCCTGTGTTTGCTGATTTCTGATTTTGGGCTCATTTTCTTTGGGCTCATTTTCAATGGAATTTTATCTCCAGGAGTTCTTCGTGACCTTGTTTTAAAATTCA